TCAAATGCAAGAATTTAATTATAGCACGACATTCTTGCTTAGGAAAAAATATTTTATATATAATTATATAAAATTATATATACAAATATATACAGGGAGGTCTCACAACTACCGCATTTCCTTTTAAGGATATTCTTGAGGTAATTTTGAAACGAAAATCCTAATACGAAAATGTCGAGATTACAATAATTTTTTGAATTATAAGCTAACTTTAAATGTTTATATGTCAAAAACCATTTTACTTTTATAGCCTCTATTATTATTTCTGGATTCTTTTGAACATTCTAAGACGAAAATCCTAATACGGAAATATTGAAGCTATAATACAATAGTTTTCGAATTACACGCTATCTTTAACCAATTATAATTCAAAAACTATTGTAGTCTTGCCATTTTTGTATTAGGATTTTCGTCTCAAAACTACTTCAAGAATACATTCTTAAGAGGAAATTCCGTAGTTAGTGTGAGACAGCCTGCATAATATTATATACGATTATATATAATTTTATATAATTAGAGGAGAAGGTGGTATTATGGCATCCCAGTTACATTTTACACAATAACTTTGTTAATAATCAATATTTAAGTTTAAAACTTGACAATTACATTCGTTAAAATGTTGTTGAATCAATTCTGGACTCAAAGTTACGTAATATTTATTACTTAGGATACTATTAATAAAAATGTGGCGACATTGCATAATGGCTCGAAGAAAAAAATGGGTGATAATGGCCTTCCATAAAAACAGCCTTAAAATATTAGTTTTGTTTAGAAAACAGTATTTGGTTACAAAATTAACAAAAAAGTAAAACATTTAAAAATGTATGCAAATGAATGTATATACATCCACATAACTTCTGCATACAAGATACTCAGTACTAAAAATCTCTGTACTATAAAAATAGTACACGTAATATAAACTATAGATTAACAGTAGAGCTACAATCGATTATCAAATAATTATTTTGGTATGAAGATCTCAAAAAGAAGTCGTGAGTAATCGGTATCCATAGGAGGCCACATTAGCAAAATGCCATGGTATTGTTTAAATTTGCATAACTCAAAATGTGTACAGTTAAGTAATATGTTAAATAGTAAATAACACACTCAAAAATACATTCAAAAATATATTCATGAGATAATACGCTCAAGTTTAAGAAAAATGAAGAAGTAGGTGTAATTAAATGCTAAAGTGTACCTCAGAAACGTTTCGAAATACTTGAAAGTAAAAGTGCGTTATAATAAGTGCTGGCTATTCAGTATTGGTAATATTAGCGTCATGGTACTACTCACGGCAAGCTACTGAACTCCATAAGTAATCATTAGGATTTGCTATATAATAGCGGAGATATTAAGAGAGACCACAATATATACACTGGCCATAATACCACCTTCTCCTCTATATATAAAATATTTTTCCCGGGACGTTCTCAATAAATACATAATAATAATATATATTGCGTTAATAATTTGATGATAATGATGCAAATCTTTTGTACAAAGTTTTTTTTACTAAATAAAGATCATTCATTAGCTCCGTATCATTTATCGTATACAGGAACTATACTTATTCTTCTCAAATAACACGTATCACTTAAATTAATTACTTTCCTTTTATTTTATAGGATAATTGTTTTCTTCTTTACTGTAACTATATAACGTAACTACGACTTCGTATAAACATATATAAATAATTAGTAAAACAATATAATTGAAAGAATGCTTTTCTTATAAATTTTCTTATTTAATACAAACCGGTTGAGATAAAAACTGGATAATCAATCAAAGTAATTATACCGTACAACTCTTATTATGTTTACGCCACGTATGACCGATAATGAAATTCTTGAATAATAGTCATAAATATGGAATGACATCAGAGACGATTAGCTAAGGACTTTGTAGAAAACTTGCATCCCGGAACTTAAGTTTGATAGATTAATGTATATTAATTGATGTGATTATCATAATTCAAGTACGACAACATTACCTAAAATGTAATGTAAAAAGTAACATTAATAACTTAATCTTAATTCCACTTTATTTATTTATAATCAATACAGCTCACAATTTGTAAATTTTAAGTGTAATTGGTGTGTGGTTCAATATCGTCTACTTTCGTTCTATCTATCAAACTGTTCACTTCTAGCTACACAATCGATTCGACAATAGGAATCTCTTTATGTCATTTTATATATTATCTGTATACATTTTTGATATTTTTTTTACGTTCTAGGATAAAAACCATCATGCAGTACGGTGTGGAAATAATCTCTCTAAAAACACATAAAAGTGTTCTCCTTCGTTAATGACATCAGAGACGATTAGCTAAAGACTTTGTAGAAAACTTGCATCCCGGAACTTAAGTTTGATAGATTAATGTATATTAATTGATGTGATTATCATAATTCAAGTACGACAGCATTAACTAAAATGCAATGAAAGAAGTAACATTAATAACTTAATCTTAATTCTAATTTATTTATTTATAATCAATACAGCTCACAATTTATAAATTTTAAGTGTAATTGGTGTGTGGTTCAATACCGTTCTACATTCGTTCTATCTATCAAACTGTTCGCTTCTAGCTACACAATCGATTCGACAACAGGAATCTCTTTATGTCACTTTATACATTATCTGTATACATTTTTGATATTCTTTGTGTTCTAGGATAAAAACCATCATGCAGTACGGTGTGGAAATAATCTCTCTAAAAACACATAAAAGTGTTCTCCTTCGTGTATAATTAATCATTGGATCGAGATGTATCGCTTCCTAGCTATATCACTTTTTTATGAATCATTTTACATAGTTACTTACACAATATATTCTAAAGAAATCGTGTTGGGGATCGTTTTATTTAATTATATCTCTAAAGATAAAATTAATTCTTTAAAAAATTCAAAAGGATAAAAGTCTCCTCTGTCATTATTCATGGCCAAAGAAGGACCTGTCTGCGAGGTACCTTCTTCATTTGATGTCATCGATCCTTCTAACTTGCATTCGCGTGCTCACTCCAAAAACTTCTTTGTTTTGCTTTTCAGACAAAACCGTTGCAGAATGAAGTCATCGTGTTTTTTTCCAGAATTGGAAATATCACGCTAAATATTTACTTACAAGATAGAAAAACAAAGTTGGTTTTGTGAATTTGACGCTTCAATAATTTAACGATGTGTCCACCAAGTATCGTCCTTTGTTTCGCATTTCTGCTTGTTGCTTCGTTCTCGGAATCTCAGGAAGATTTTACGAATGGCGATGAGCAGAGCGACAACTCGACAGTGCAGTTTGATTCTCTCGTAAATTCTACGAAATATCGAAATAAAAAAATGGAACTAACACGGTGCAACTCACACGAAAATTCTATTAAGAATAAGAATGAAATGCAGAATGAATCCTGTATTAATTCTACAAGGAATAATTGTAACTTCTTTGTTTTGCTTTTCAGACAAAACCGTTGCAGAATGAAGTCATCATGTTTTTTTCTAGAATTGGAAATGTCACGCTAAATATTTACTTACAAGATATAAAGAAAAACCAAGTTGATTTTGTGAATTTGACGCTTCAATAATTTAACGATGTGTCTACCAAGTATCGTCCTTTGTTTCGCATTTCTGCTTGTTGCTTCGTTCTCGGAATCTCAGGAAGATTTTACGAATGGCGATGAGCAGAGCGACAACTCGACAGTGCAGTTTGATTCTCTCGTAAATTCTACGAAATATCGAAATAAAAAAATGGAACTAACACGGTGCAACTCACACGAAAATTCTATTAAGAATAAGAATGAAATGCAGAATGAATCCTGTATTAATTCTACAAGGAATAATTGCAAGAATGACTCGGTGCGATACGAGTCTCGTGAACAATTAATAAAAAATGACGAAGACAATAATCAGACATCTATGGAGTTCTGTACGAATTCGACAGAGATTAATAATTTCACGTTACAAGAAATTAATGAAAATCTCACCAAAACTGAAGACAAGAAAAATTTCGTATCGTACACACTCTACGATTCCAATAGAATAACTAAAACTACCTTTGTTAAATATAAAGATTGCAATGATAATATTACTTGCATACAGCTCTGTTGTCCTTTTGGTCAGAACTTGACGTTTTAACGATGTGTCCACCAAGTATCGTCCTTTGTTTCGCATTTCTGCTTGTTGCTTCGTTCTCGGAATCTCAGGAAGATTTTACGAATGGCGATGAGCAGAGCGACAACTCGACAGTGCAGTTTGATTCTCTCGTAAATTCTACGAAATATCGAAATAAAAAAATGGAACTAACACGGTGCAACTCACACGAAAATTCTATTAAGAATGAGAATGAAATGCAGTATGAATCCTGTATTAATTCTACAAAGAATAATTACAAGAATGACTCGGTGCGATACGAGTCTCGTGAACAAGTAATAAAAAATCACGAAGACAATAATCAGACATCTATGGAGTTCTGTACGAATTCGACAGATATCAATAATTTCACGTTACAAGAAATTAATAAAAATCTCATCAAAATTGAAGACAAGAAAAATTTCGATGTTCATTATTCATCACATACGCGATTATGTATTTTGGACAACAAGTTAATGGATTAGCTGAAGCGAACTATTGCGTTGCACTAGGTACAGCATGCATAAATATATCGTCCCATTATTTTTAGAATAACTAAAACTACCTTTGTTAAATATGAAAATTGCAATAATATTACTTGCATACAACTCTGTTGTCCTTTTGGTCAGAACTTGACCAAAGTAAAGGGACAATGCATCGATCATGGAAAGAATAATTACGTTCTTCCAAACATGTACATACTTTCAAACAAACACGGAAATGATTCCGAAGATGAAACAATCAACGAAATATTTGTTACTGTTCGCGATCCATGCGTTGAAAAAAAACGTGGTCGCGAATTTATTTTTGCCAATACATACTTGTTTCTCACCAATGGCTCCTTGTTCACGTCTACTAGCGAATTCATTTCACCAAAGTCTTATTGCTTTGCCATTTTGTCTCGGGACGTATATGACGTGTTCATCTGCAATTATATGACTAAACTTCCAGTATACGTATCCGCATGCCTCCTAGTGTCTTTGCCGTTCCTGCTGTTGACGTTCATAATATATTCCATATTGCCAGAACTTCAAAATATGCATGGTTATACATTGCGTGCATACGTGGGATCATTATTCATCACAGACGCGATTATGTATTATAGACAACAAGATACTGAATTAGCTCAAGCGGACTATTGCGTTGTACTAGGTACAGCATGCATAAACAGATCGTCCTATTATTTTAAAAATGACATAATTAAAAAAATTAAATTTCAGAAAAGGGAAAAAACTATTTTTCAACTTGACAGAAAATTATTGACTAATCAAATAGTATAACGCAATCAATAATAAGCTCCTTTGAAAATATATTCTTAAAAACATGATCAAATGTTATTTTTGTCATCTTTATTTCACAACGAAGCTATATTCTTTTTAGAAATTAAATGCCTATACCGGTCGAAGCTGGACCTTTAATGCTTTAAATAATTTAATGTGAATTATATATACATATATATATGTACTATATATGTACATCATGTATATCATGTTAATTGTAGTTATTCGAACTGTGCGTCGAATTTGTCTTTGCCGTTCCTGCTGTTGACGTTCATAATATATTCCATATTGCCAGAACTTCAAAATATGCATGGTTATACATTGCGTGCATACGTGGGATCATTATTCATCACAGACGCGATTATGTATTATAGACAACAAGATACTGAATTAGCTCAAGCGGACTATTGCGTTGTACTAGGTACAGCATGCATAAACAGATCGTCCTATTATTTTAAAAATGACATAATTAAAAAAATTAAATTTCAGAAAAGGGAAAAAACTATTTTTCAACTTGACAGAAAATTATTGACTAATCAAATAGTATAACGCAATCAATAATAAGCTCCTTTGAAAATATATTCTTAAAAACATGATCAAATGTTATTTTTGTCATCTTTATTTCACAACGAAACTATATTCTTTTTAGAAGTTAAATGCCTATACCGGTCGAAGCTGGATCTTTAATGCTTTCAATAATTTAATGTGAATTATATATACATATATATATGTACTATATATGTACATCATGTATATCATATTAATTGTAATTATTCGAACTGCACATCGAATTGGTTTTCCAGACTTATAAACACAATTAAACTACTGTAATAATATCAGGAATTTAATTAAATTGACAAGCAATTTTTAATAATTTGATACTCAATCAGGCATCATATTAGAAACATGTTAATCTGCTGTAAATAAATTTATTCCGAAAAAATATTACTTCGGCCGGGAGTCGAACCTAGATTTTTTGTATTCCCATTCCGTACGAGCAATAATTGCCTCGATAGTCTTAAGACGCTTGTAAGGAATACACAAAAGATTCAGGTTCGACTCCTGGCCGAGGTAATATTTTTTGCAATAAATTTATTTACAGTTTTTCAGCAGATTAACATCTTCCTAATATCATGCCTGATTGAGCATCAAAATAATAAAAATTGCTTGTCAATTTAATTTAATTCGTGATATTATTACAGCAGTTTAATTGTGTTTATAAGCCCGGAAAACCTAAATAATTTAATGTGAATTATATATACATATATATATGTACTATATATGTACATCATGTATATCATGTTAATTGTAGTTATTCGAACTGTGCGTCGAATTGGTTTTCCAGACTTATAAACGCAATTAAACTACTGTAATAATATCAGGAATTAAATTAAATTGACAAGCAATTTTTAATAATTTGATGCTTAATCAGGCATCATATTAGAAACATGTTAATCTGCTGTAAATAAATTTATTGCGAAAAATATTACTTCGGCCGGGAGTCGAACCTAGATTTTTTGTATTCCCATTCCGTACGAGCAATAATTGCCTCGATAGTCTTAAGACGCTTGTAAGGAATACACAAAAGATTCAGGTTCGACTCCTGGCCGAGGTAATATTTTTTGCAATAAATTTATTTACAGTTTTTCAGCAGATTAACATCTTCCTAATATCATGCCTGATTGAGCATCAAAATAATAAAAATTGCTTGTCAATTTAATTTAATTCGTGATATTATTACAGCAGTTTAATTGTGTTTATAAGCCCGGAAAACCAATTTGGTGCGCAGTTCGAATAACTACAAATTTAGTATATATGCATTGTACTATATATGTACATCATGTATATCATATTAATTGTAATTATTCGAACTGCACATCGAATTGGTTTTCCAGACTTATAAACACAATTAAACTACTGTAATAATATCAGGAATTTAATTAAATTGACAAGCAATTTTTAATAATTTGATACTCAATCAGGCATCATATTAGAAACATGTTAATCTGCTGTAAATAAATTTATTCCGAAAAAATATTACTTCGGCCGGGAGTCGAATCTAGATTTCTTGTATTCCCATTTCGTACGAGAAATAATTGCCTCGGTAGTCTTAAGACTCGTAAGTAATACAAAAGATTCAGGTTCGACTCCTGGCCGAGGTAATATTTTTCGCAATAAATTTATTTACAGTTTTTCAGCAGATTAACATCTTCCTAATATCATGCCTGATTGAGCATCAAATTATTAAAAATTGCTTGTCAATTTAATTTAATTTGTGATATTATTACAGTAGTTTAATTGTGTTTATAAACCCGAGAAACTAATTTGGTGCGCAGTTCGAATAACTACAAATTTAATATATATGCATGTACATATACATATATACAGGGTGTCTCAAAAAAAAACGGATCGAAACACAATGGGGACGTAGATTGGATCAAGGGGAACAAAACAGTTTTGTACCATTTTGCAGTTGACGCAATATTTAACGAGATATTAACGTATAAAGATAGGCGAATACAAGCGTCCGACCAGCCTACTGCTCAAGCGCTATCCTTCTCCTCCCCATGCGCGCCGTTCTGAGTGGCTC